CATCCTTATTTTATTTATCTTCACTATGCCTTGGGAATATATTTCATATTTGACTTATTTCAATGTAAGGTTGAGAGTAGATCGAGAATGTGTTATCCTTTAAGTTTTCTGCTACTGCTTCATTATTATCTTCTGGATTGCTTGTTATTTGTGAATTAATGTAATTTTTATCAACTTTATTTATGTCCTCTTTTACATAGGGAACATTTCTAGTTATTTGTGTATGCCTGCATTAGATGATTATTTAAAATAAGTTTAAATTTGGAAGCTTGTTGCATTCCTTCTGCATGCAGTAATTCAATGCGAATGCTCCGAATCCCATGAGTTATTCTTTCTTAGAGATATATTCCTTTCGCTCGGTTCCCCGAAAGCCCCGAAAAGACATAAACCAATATACATATAAATGCACACGTCAAATAAACTTCACAAATTGGCAAAATGACAGTAAATAGAAAAAACACAACTGTGTTGGCCAATAAAATTTTGTCGCTTTTGGCTGGGCAGCCAAGCTACTTTAACAGTTACGTCGTCTTATTGGCCACCTTGCTTATAATTTTGTGGCCAAGACTGGGGCCGCTTCGCGGTTTTCTCCTTTGTTGGGCTTCAACCTTGTTGTTGTTGTTGTTGGCTTTTGCTGTGGTCGCTTGCACGGCAAATGATTGCATCACAAATTGACAATTTTGAAGTGGCAGAGAAAATCATGCAATTTTCCCATTTGACACCTCAAATGCTAGTTGACTTCCAGGCACGCCCCTTTCAGTCCACTTCAGACCCCTCCAGCTGCAGCGCGCTTTCTATCATTTTACTGTTGCTCGTGTTGCTCTTGAGTTTTCCCCCAGCTGTAGGAAAATTTTATAGCAGCCGCAAGTTTTTTAATTAGCTGCCGCACATTTTCTTGACATTTCCACTTGCTGCCATTGTCATCATCATTGTCAGGCCAGTAAATTGGGGGCGTGGCTGCTCGAGCAAGCCCTCTGCTCCTGCGTTTCGAGTGCTAATTGCGTTTTCTGCTGTGTTTTTTGGTACTGATTTTGAACTTTGAGGTTTTATGCCATAAATGCAATTAGCACAAACTTTTGCCATGAAAATGTTAATGGGGTTTTGCAGTTATTGTAGCCCAACCCTACGCGCCCCACCCCACCCTTGTTCCGCTGCCACCTTCAAGCAGCCCCTAAGCCAATCACTTTTAAAGCAAGCCAACCGAATCTCTTAATTAAATTAAATTTATATCATGGTCAGTCATTTTTTGGCAGGACCGACAGTAGCCAAAATCAACATTGAATGTGTGTAACTCATGCAAGTAAACACACACACACACACACACACACACACACATCTACATGGAATTTGTGCGCAAATATTTGTAAAGCGTGTTCATCATCCTGTTGACAAGGTCGTTTACAAAATAAATTCACTAAACAAAATGTTTTCACTGGATTTAATTTGTTTATGCTAACGAAAGGTCAAACCAGAACTGGGAGTGCCACCGCCCACTCGTGCATGTGTTCCCTGCTGTTGTTGTGATTACAATCTGGCTACATGTGATTACAAATTAGCTTTTAATATATTTTAGTTTAGCTATAACAGCTGCGTAATGCTAGCAGCTCTTCACACAATTCTACAATCGCACATTAGCTTTATTTTAACCCGAATTCTCGCTTAAGAATTAAAATAAAAGTTAGTAAAAATAAAAACATATTTCTTCAATTTGGGTTAGTTTATTAAATAATTTACATTTTTATATTATTTTTCATGAATGAGCAGAAAAATCGACAAAGGATGTCATTTTATGATTGTTTAACAAATCGCTTTTCAGGCTTTCAAGTTTCTCTCTTTTATTTTAACATTCACATTAGCTTCTGAACTTTTTTTCGTGGCTAAAACTAATGTGAAAAGTTATATAGAAACCTTTGTCCTAGTTTGTCCTTAAGCTTTAATTTGAGTTAACAAAATAAAGAGTTAAATATTATACCAGTTAAATTACGGAATTTATATAAAGTTTATGGAGTTGCATTATTAAATAAATAATTAAATAATTGTAGCTTTGCTAAAGAGAAATTCTGAAAATAATAGCCCTTACATTTATTGCTGCTATTCGTTAGATACGTTTTATTGCATTTATGTAAAATGTTACTTTGTCTTGACATTAGTTGCATATTGATGAACTTGGCCATTAAGCGATTAGCTATTGAATTGCAATTTCCCGAGAATCTCAATTTGAATTCGCACACAAAGAACTTCCATGTGAAAGATGTTCATTTGGAAAATATCGAATTGCAGTTGCTTGAGCTTCGGTTACATTGAGGATTTACGCATCACCTTGAGCTGAATCAACAGCAATTGCTAAGACTTAAGAGCAACAGATAATAAGTCCAGACACCTAACAGGTGAAAAGTGGAAACCCATTGAGCTCAATCAGCTTTCAGCGCTCGAAAGACTGCAGCCGGAGCAAGAGCCACAGCCACAGCCGCAAGTTTATTTGCTCGTTCAGCTCAATCACAGATCAAATAGCTAAGAAAAAGTGCTGCTGGGAAAAACACCTGGCAAACAATTTGAACTACGCTCAACCTTTGAACTGCAAACAACGCGAGCAAACGATGTTCCAGCCAGACAATTGTCGGAGTCGGGGTCTGCGGGGGTGCCAAAAGTGCCAGCCAATACAAATTGCCCCAGTCAAAGGTAAAGATGGGCTAAGGGTGGCGAATAGTATGGATTGTTAGTCTAAGCTGAATTGTCTTCGCCCTTTGTTTTTCGTACAAACAATTTGGCAAATCACAGCCGCAGCAAATTGCAGATTGAACTTCGGCTCAAAGCTGGCAGAAAGAAATGCATATGCATAACTTTTGGCCAAGTCGGCTCCAACCTCACCTCGCCTAGGTAAAGCTCACGAGCACTAGAGTTAATGCAATTTTATGTGCGCTTTTGATTTCCCAATTGGATTTGCCACATAATTCACTGAATCTTCGAGTTCAAATTCAGCCACTCGCATTCGACTTTATAAAAGTAAAAGGTATTAATTGAATTGAATTTATGCATTGAACACCGCTCTAACAAAATTTGGTATGCTCATCGAATGTGACCATAAAGGGTATATTGTTTTCTTGCTAATTTATGTCCTGTGCAGAACATGCCCATAAATATCGATTTTCATATTTCATAACTCGGTATTTTAAGAGAAAAGTACACAAAATTTGGCATATAGGCTCTCGTAAAGTATACACAGATCTTCAATCCTGCGCTGGACGAGCTTACCTCTTTTACAATGCATCGATAAATATCCATTTTCATATTTCGATAACTCCGGGATTTTAAGATATAGATACTCCTAATGTGGCATATAGACTCTCGTTAAGTTTTCACTGATTCAGAATAATTCCTATTTTGGATAACTCCCCCGTTCCGCTCAAAATTGTATAAAACGCGCTTTTCAAGCCTTCGATTTGTCTGTTTACATAAACTTGAATGCCATGTTGAAGCTCTGAGAATTTCATTAAGAGTTGACCACAAACAACGAGGTTATTTAACAACATATTTTTCATAGTTTGGGATAAAGAAAAGAAGGAGCACAGACAGCGTACACTACGCATCTGTTTATATGTTTGGCTCGAATGAAGGAAAGTCCCCGAATTGCCACGATATAGCCTAGTCAAGCATGCCCGATTAGCGCACACCTTTGTGTTGTATTTCATTTTTGACTTTGACTTATGTTCGACGACTATGTAAAGCTGTCTGCATAGCTGCCAACAATTTGGGCCCATTGATGGGCCCGAAATATGATTTAAACAACTGCCACGCTCTGAATGACAGGCAAAACAACTCGGTGCAGTCAGGCGAGGCGCATTGACAAGTGTAACATGTGCCAGGCGTTGCCAGACATGAATAAATTACTAAATAAATACCATAAATTTGTATGCATATAATATTATATTTTTAGTTGTTGACGTTGCCCGTTGCCCGTTGCCAGGCACGAGGCGCCCAAAAGTTATGCAGCGTCAACTTGTGGAGCTGTCGCGGGGTCTGCGTTGTCTGCCTGGGTAATAAACTGGCACTTGTTACGTCTATATAACTATATATGGCAATCTTCAGCTGCTGCTGCTGCTGCTGACGCCTCATCCTTTCAGTTCAATCAACTTTTACTTGCCAATACTTTGGCTCGTTTGGGACAACATCTAACTGACGGCAGCTGCTGCCAAGGAGCAACTTTTCGCTGATGAAATGCGAAAAAGAAACAAACTGTTTTTGCACCTTTAAAAGCTCAGTTGAAGACGCAGCCAGGCAGACATGAGGTTATTGCATATACTCGGATGCAAACATTTTCGCATGCAATTGCCAAATGTAATTAGTTTTGCATCTCACGAGTCGTCCAATTTGCATGTCTGACTGTATTTTGGCCCGACAGACATTGTAATGCAGACGCATTCACAATAACTTTGAGTACATTTGAGTATTTAATTAATTGTGAACTGTGTGGTTGTGGTTAACTTTATTAAATCTAACTGCTAGACTCAGGTTGGGCAAAGTTTGAATTGAGTTTCTGATAAAAATTAGTTATATGAGTTATGATAATGGGTAAAAAACATGTTTTTATGGAATTTGTGAAGCATAATTTTTAATAGAAGGTAAGAGAAATTAGTTTTATCACGAAAAAGCTTTTCCTCTAGATCATCAGGGCTTAAAATCTACTTTATAAAACTGCTCTCAAATATATACGAAAAGATATCTAGACAGATCTGCGATATTTATCGTTTTAATGAAAAGAGAGGAGTTATTGATAGCTTAGTAATAATATTGATAGTCCACGAATCTGCATCCGTCTGACAAGCAGATATCAGCCTGATCAAGATATATCTGCTCTATGCAAATTTTGAATCTTACTTCGCCTTCTAATAAACACAAATGCATAACAGATTTAAGGTTTATTGCATTGTAGTCGCGTACTGCACTCAATTGAATGAAAGGTGTGCCTCCAGTTTGCATATAAAATGAACTGCCAATTGATATGCGGAGGGGTTATTGAAAGTGTTTATTATTGAGTATGAATCGGCGCTGAGAAAAACAATAAAATCATAAGTTAAAGCTTCATTGACGCGGCTCAAAGTCCAGCCAAATGCCGCCCTTCAAAGTGGTTATAAAGGCTGCGGGATCATAAAGATTGTCCGTGCGGGTCTTGGGATTGACACGAACATTGAACTTGGTTAGCACCTCGACAATGGCGCCCTTGATCTGTGTCATGGCAAAACGCATGCCTGGAATAATTAAAAATATAATAAGAGTAGAGAACAAGTAAAGTATGTTTCATATTAGGCTGGACTTCTCACCTATGCAAACGCGCGGGCCATCGCCGAAGCCCATGAAGACACCCTGCTCGCGATACATTTTGGCGGCATCGGGCTGCATGAAACGATCGGGCTGGAAAACCTGGGGATTGGGGAAGTATTCCTCGTCCAGCATGAAACAGTAATGCGGCACAACCACAGTGGTGCCGCGCTCCACAATGAAATTCTCCCCATTCTTGTTGGTCAACTCCAGCGGCTCAGTGCACAATTTGATGGACATAAAGCCGGGTGGAAAGATGCGTATGGATTCTGCGAATGCAGCACTAATGTCTTAGTCATAAATACGAATTGGCTTAAGCTCGCAACTCACCCTGCACACAGGCATCCAGAAAGGGCAGCTCATTTAACTTGTCAAAATCAATGACGCCCTTGGCATTGAGATGGGCCTCCAGTTCATCCCGCAAACGCTGCTGCACCTGCTCATCCCGTGCCAGCAGCAGCAGCATGTGGCTTATGACTGTCGCCGTCGTCTCGAATCCATCCAGCAGAAAAGTCATTGTGTTGGCGGTCAATTGGCGTGTGTTCAGATGCCTTTTGCTGCCCAACTGCAGTATATAGTCGAGGAAGTCGACGCGCTCGAACTGCTTGCCGGCAGCCTGTTGGCCACGTCGTGCGTCTATTGCGCTCTGCATCACGTCCACAAAGAAGTTCTCAATGCGCCGCGACACAAAGCGCAGCTTGAAGACATGTCGCAGAGCCGGCAAAGTGTTGACCAGCGCAAAGTACACAACGAAGGTCCAGGGCTGAGTGAACAGTTCCTTAATGTAGGCCAAAATTGGTGTGGGCTTGTCCGTGAAGCTCTCGGCCTTCAGGCCAAGCACGCAGTCGGTGACCATTTCAGAGGTGAAGCGCAGGCTCATCTGCCAAAGCAACGTAATATTTTCACTTAGATATACTCGCTTTTATTTCGCTTAATACTCACATCCTTGGCCTCGATGCCGCCTGGTGCAGCCAGGCGGATTTGCTTGCGCAGCCACTCGGTCAACTTTTGGCACACCTCTATGGTCACCGGGTAGACAGTTTTGATCTAGAAATGCCAGGTGAATAATAAAAAATGTTAAGCAACATTTCAAAGTGCAGGTGAATTTTAACTAGCGGTCCGACTAGTTGTAAAAAGCAATCCATTATATATATCGTTATATCACTTACTCGACCCATGGTCAATCCGGGCGTAATGTCCGCTCGCCGCTGTTTCCACTCCTCGCCGACCAGGGCGAACGGATTGTTGGCAAATATAAAATCGGACTTCTCATCCACCATTTGGGATATTTCGTTATCATGGAAGTGCTTGAAATCCGATACAAAGACGCGTCGTGCCAGCTGCGGGTTGATCACCAGAAGCTGCGGACTGCGTGACCCATAGATGCCGACCGCATCGTATTGCTGCTTGTATTGCCTTTGGTTGGGCAATAAATCGAATTATCTGATGTTAGCTTCATATGGACAGACTCTTTACCGATATATTTCATCGAGATCGTAGATCGCATGTCGCTTCATATTATACATGTGCGGATAATTGCCAATGAAGATACGCGGTGCCGGACCCGGAACCTTGCGCTTGCGCCAGTATCCAAAATTCCAGGTCATGAATATATAGAAGAGCACCGCCAGCAGCAGCAGCAAGGTCAAAGTAATTTCAAGCATGATTACGCGTTGATGATGTCGCTCGAATAACCACTTAAAAACTGACTGTAGCTCGGCAATTCCTCGACTACTTGTACCAGGCCCCTAACAGACAGGGCCACGAGCTTTCAGAGAGCATTTCTCTGATTAGATTTGCTCAATTGCCCCCGTATGAATATATCTTTTAAGCATCAAACGTACATTTCATTGAGTATATAAATATTATAGACGTTGATAAAGCTTATCATCGCCCAGCGGCAACTTGCCACACACACGATTATTTGTTTACAATACTCTTCCGAAATTATTTTGACCACTATTCGTTTTGTGTTCTCTATTCGTTTGGTTACCATTTTAAATTTCTTGCTTCTGTTCCCTCGACTGGACGGAAGACTGAAAGTCTACAGAGCTCACTCCATTTTTCGATAATTATCGATATTTAAATTAGATGGATAAGAAGCTAGATCAAAGAAATACAAAATGCTTAGAGGCACAGCCATAGGCTTTGGTATTTGAGCACATTTAGCTGCAATATAAATATTTCATTAAGATACACGTCAACATTTTCCATAAGGCGAGAAGAAGCAGCACACTATTTTGTGGATTTTTTAAAAGAAGCGGCTTTATGTGCTGGGCACAGGGTAGCGGCTAGTCGGATACTCACCATTAGAGAACTTTTACTTATGTAACTTTGTTTTTGGTCAGTAAAAAAAAGTTTGCGAGAGGCACTCGTTTAGCATACTATGAATTATGTGTAAACTTGAACTTGATCAACTTGCAGATACCCAGCATAAATTATTGGCATATTAATTTATTATTAATCAATTTTTAATAATTAAAATAATTATTATCAATATTATGATAATGATATTATTATGATTATTATTTTCAGTATTATACTTATTCGAATTTTAATAATATTAGTATCAATTTTAATTATTCTTATAAATATTGTGAGCATTATTTTCTATTCAGCATTAGAGTTATTTTTATTATTATGTAATAATTTAAAATTTATGATTATATTAAATATAGTATATATATTATGATTGATATGAATATTTATATATATTATATATATATATATATATATATATATATATATATATATTTTATATAATATTAATCATTGTTAGAGTTATGATTATTATTATTACTGTTAATAATATAATATAGTATCTGTATGTACATTCATTGTTTGTATAGGGCATTTACTTGTTCCAAGTTTTCAATTGAGTCAAAGCAACGCTTAATTGACGCTTGAAAAAAACACGAGAGCGATGAGCGAGAGAGAATGAGAGTATAATTCAGGTGGGTGTGGAATATAGACTATAGACAATAGAGCGTTACGCTTGTGGGGCTCTCATCCATAGAGAGAATATAGACAACAACAATTAAAAGTTAAACAAAATATATAATAAGTTCCAGCTAAAAACAAATTATGCGATAACAATGTTATAAGCATCCATCAATGTTGCGTTAATTAAATGTAAACATAAATTAATTTGTAGCTAATGGTATGATATGATAGTAATGATATGAATAATTTAACTCTTACAATATGCGAAGCTTTAAAGTTTTTATTACTTATTTAAATAAATTCGGAGTGTCATATATTTTAACAATAAAGTTAAAACAATAAAATAACTTTTCACTACCTTTTCCACGCATGTAAAGTATTTGTTTATTCATTATTATAATAATTTATGTTATTTAATGAAATATTTAAAATTATATGTATTAGGTATTTTTATACATTTTTATACGAGCATATGTATTCATAATCGTAAAATTTAATGATGTGATCTATTTATATTTTCCTTTTGCCAACATTGCGCTGTTATTGTTGCTATTTGAATACAGAAAAAGTCACTGCTTAAGTATTAGGCACAATGTTGTCAACGATTTATTATAACTCCTATTTATTTTATGTATTCAACCTAAATAGAATATTTGAAATGCGAATTTGTACAAAGCAACTGAAGACGCCAAAAAAAGAGCCCTTTGATGTTTGGTCTATCTTCTTGCACAGTGTCCATTATTTACAGCCATTTATTGAAAATTATGCGACAAAATATCTGTGCCATGTCAAGCTTTCAATAGCAAAATAGCAATAATATTTATGGCCAATGCAGCGGCAGACGCAATCGACTGGCTTCCTTTAGCTTTTTTTTTTGGCTTTTTTGGGGTCTCTGCGTTGCCACACAATGCAGCACTTGGGCGGCACATTTGTCATGTGTTGTGGTCAGGCTTATTAAACGGCTTTTAAGCGCCAGGAACCATGCACAATGAGTATTTTCTATAGCCGGGTAGATTTATGCAGCTGCCCGGCGTCGTTCTGACGGCGGCCTTGCGAATTATGCGGCATTTCAAGATGTGAATATGAACTTTTTAAAGAAATTCGGAAAGTAAATTGCTCGTGCGTGTAAAAACTAGGGTAATATGTAACTTATTCCTTTCTTGTTATAGTCTTTCTAAGGCACTGGAAGAGTCCTTTAAGTTTATATGAACTAATTAATTTATGCTTCATATAGAAAGTAAACAAACAAGTTTCATTTTAGCTGAGCAGCAGATGCTGAATGTCAATAAAAATTGTTTATTTATTGTCTTTTGAACGAGATCAAAAGATTTGTAAACTAATTTAAGAGAGACTTCAAATTTCAAATGGACTTTGTTGGGTCAGTTAAGAAATTGTTGCCTAGTTCCAGCTTAAATTTACATTAGTTAAGCCCTGGCGTATACAACTAGTCCGCAACAATACCTTTCCACACATTGAAAGCGAATACACAGCTCCGAACCCTTAAAAGGAAAGATCGCAATTTATGAGGCAGCTCACTTAGTTTGGTCAGGAAAAAAAACACACAAACAAATAAGGAAAGAAACAAATAGTAGCAAATGCTTTTTATGTGTTTGGAACGTGTTTGGCTGCCATGACATTTGCCGTAACACGCAGCTCGTCCATTTGTAACCTACCCATAAACACACACACACAGACAGAGACACATAAATTCATACATATGTAACAGTTAATATGTATCTATGAGCAGGACTGGAATGCAGCCCAAATTAAGATGTTGCCTATGCTAAATTGTCATGCTGTGTGCCTGAAAAATTATGCGAGGCCCCTGGAAATGAGCTGGGTTAAGCCGCTTTAAAGCCGGCTCCTGCAGTGCCCGATAACAAACAAGAGTAATTAGAAAGAAGTGCGGCCACAAAAATATTCCATGCATAATTAAACAGCAAATTAAGCATTATCAAGTTTTCGTGTTGCCAAACAGACGGCATTAGCAACTGCTACAAGAACACAAAGAACACATAGTGAAATATTAATATCAATTAATAGGCAACAAGTTTCTTTGAAGTGTGGGGTTGATGTCCTGCTACTGCTTCAGGGCATCATCAGGGGACATTTCATCATCTTAATGGGGCGGTCCACTTCGAACTGGGCTACACAGTCAAGTCGGGCTACGTGTCCCGGCAAAGCTGCTTGTCAGTGTGGCGAATGACACTCGTATTTAACAGACGGGCCACATAAGCACTCATCTATAGGTATTAAGACAGAGACAGAGACTGAGACAGGTGTTGTGAGAGCAACTTATCCGAAATGAGGCCCCAGGTGTTTGGCTCGGCTTTGCAGCCGAGTCAAGTACGCCAGGTGTGTTTGTATTTGCTGAGCATTAAACCTGGCATCTATTCTGCAAGCATACAAATCGAAGGCTAGCCACTCGATGAATAAAGCATGTGGCAGAAATATAATGTAAATTGTTTCTAATCGTAGTGCAATATATATTAGGATATATATATATATAAATATATATATATAATATATATATATATTTGATGTTGGAAGAAGAGGGTTCAGGGTATCCCCTAGTCGGGAGCTCCCGACTAGAACCTCTTACTTGTTACTTATGAAATAGTTAAGCTCAAAAAAATAAACAATTGAGGCAGACAATCTCAGACTATAAATCAATTATTATAAATATATTAATTATTAATTGATTCATTTTATATGTATTTTATTTTTCTTTATATTTATTTTATTTGTATTATTTTAATTATTTGTTTATTTTATATAAAACATGAATTAATAAATTTCTTGTTGGACGCTAGTAAATCGTTATTTCTATGCCACAAGCTTTAACTTAAGGTTTAGGACAGTCCCTTAATATATTATTATTCATTATTGCTAACTGTAAATAATTAACGATTAATTATAAAAACATTTAATTAGAAGCCTTTATATGTTTTCATCATCGGAAACCGGTTTCAATTATTTTTAGTTTAAAAAAAGCTTCTCTAGCGCAGATAATAAATCTTCAAGTGAACAGAACATCCCTCTATATAATACGTGAAGTATTTTTAACTCATCGATTCCACTCACCCTTTCCCCCTCCTGTCCCGCTTGCTCATAATCACAGCAATTAGCAATTATGGCTACCCCATCTACGGGCCTTAAATGTTCACACCTTTCTGGGCACCGTCTCAGGTCTTATCCCTTTTAATTGGATGCCGCCAAAAGGCAAATTCCAATCTCAAGCTGCGAGTCATCTTTTCCACCTATCCCTAACCAACAGCCTCGCCCCGCCCCCTCCCTTCCCCTCACATTGTCGCTCAGCCCCTTTGACTATTTGCTTTGCAGTTGGCAGCAGCTTTTGCTAACAGCGCGCAAGTTTTTTCTGCCCATTTCTAATTTTCATTTTAATTATTACGAGTATTATTCTGAAAATCAAGCGAGCGGCAACATTGGGCGGCCCTTTTCAATAGTGGGCGGGGCTGACAGTCAGACAATGGCAGCTGTTACACTTTTTCTGTCCTTGCCACCTGTCTTTGGCATTGTAGCCCACCTGCTAGTGTCTCTCTCTCTCACTGTGTGAGTGTGTGTGTGTGTGTTATCATATTTCACGCCTATTAGCATTTTAATTTAATTAACATTTATGACGACAATTTGTGCGTTGGCAGCCATGAAAATGTGCGATAACTCGAAGCTGTCTCCACATTGAAGACAAAGTTGTTGCGCT